CTACAACTTTTAAAAATGTGCATGTAAAAACATTAGGTATGTGTGGGGAAACCTGCATGTGGCTTTCAGTCTTCCTTGATGCCACTCATATTTTATGCAACTAGCAAAGATGGAGATGACATGCATTGAGAGATGGCATGTTGCAGAAAGACCTAGATAATTGGATAGAACAAACCCTGCCTCCACATGGATATTTGCTCTACCTATACCTGGCAGGTTACTGTTCAGAGATTGCCTGATGAGATGCAAAAGTACCATTGTAAAGAAACAGTGGATGGTTTATACTTGGTGGTCTGCAGTTTAAAGTCACACCATATATCCAGAGGAGAGTTGAAAAGGTTGTTGTTTGAGTTTACTGACTGAACCAGTTGGTGCCTTCCAATCCTTCTAAAGGAGAGAATGAAAGTGTCATAATTTGATTTCATTGAGCCTTATACAAAGTATTTGTGAAGTCCACTCATTTCTGGTGTAAATGAATCTAAATTGAGACATAAGTGAGTAAAGTGAAAAATGCTATTGCTTTTTGTGTGTCCTAAATGTATTCTATGTTTTCCTTACAGAACTCCATCATTCCTGGTCCCCCGTTCTTATTTGGAGCGTGCTCTGTATTACTAGCTTTGCTTGTTGCCTTGTTTATTCCTGAACACACCAACTTAAATGTTCGATCTAGCAACTGGAAAAAACACTGTGGTGGGCATGGCCATCCACATAGTCCACAAGCCCCTGGGGAGGCCAAAGAACCTTTATTACAAGACACAAATGTATGACAACAGAACTCAAGGACTCCTAGAGCGAGTTTCTTATTTTTATTCTTTTTCATCTGCAGTTGTGGATGCACATTCCGTTTCCATTGAAAGTGTCATTTCTTAAGGTGGACTTAAGAAATTTATCTCTTTGCATGAAAACAGTAAGAACCACAAACAGGAAGAAACTCCAAAGAAGTTACAACTTATTTCATTTTTTAAAAACACCTCTGTTTAGGATTTTTGCCATAAAGTCCTATTGGAATATTAAATCTTTATATCTTAATTTTGAAACAAAATTATATATATTCAAGGTATCAGCATGTGTTCCTGCATCAGTTTTCTGAAGGTGTTATGCTTTATTCTCTTCATGCTGGTCTCAGTGAGACACATATTGGCAGGATTAAGGTACCCATTTATTTTATCTATAAAATCTTGGGTCACATGAATTCAAAGCCTTAACATAGATGCACTTGACCAAGACAGTGAATTAGGTGGACCTTGGACTTTCAAATCAGTGTCTGGCAGGTCTTTTAAAAATAACTAACACAATCATGTGTTGAAAACACATCCTGAGCAGTACACACTCCTTTAAGTGCATTATTCTGCTAATCTTTATTCTATGAATTAAGTATAGTATCAAGATGTAGTACTTAAATTAGTGGGTAGTGTGAGCCTAGATTTTGTTACTGGCTCCTGAAGTCTACCTTCCTGAATACAATTTGATACCACTATGCTTTGGATGTTTTACATAAGGACCTCAAAACTTGAATATACAAACTCTAAGCTGATAACCTTGAAGATGTCAGTGTGCTCTATGCTGGATTGCCTCTTCTATTACTTGACAGGGTCAGAGGGTATTGAGTATGGCTAAGGACAGATTTGCCTACTCCCATTTTTGAGTGAAGTCTTGTAGGGTAAGAGATGATTGGTAGAGTCTTTTGACTAGTAATTGAAGTGGCAATCTTTACTCTATAGTGGCCTTCCAGGACTGTCACAAGTAACACTTCAAAGCCAAGGGTTAGTCCTGCAGTGTCAGGACCACAGTATAGGAGAGAGCTTTATACAATTACTGATGTGAATTTCTCTAAAAGTGTATATTTTTGTGTCCAGTTGTATTATTTAAGTGTTCCTTTGTATAAAATGTGTATAAAGTATTGTATAGTTCAAAATGTTTTCATCTTGTGCTGTGGTTATTGCTTAAGCTTTTTTAACTTTCACCACGGTTGACTAAAAGCTGGAAAATATGTAAATACACTGTTAATAAAGTTGAATATTTTAGTGATTTTTAAAAACATTATTTGAGATTATACTATAGAACAGAATACTTTGTAAGTAGATGATCTTAACTGTTTTAATCTTATTTTTATAGGTATTTGTGCTGTCTTTCATTGCTTACCTTTGGCAGAGTCTGTTGGGAACAACTAAAAGAAATCCTTAATATTTTGTTTAGGGTTCTTTTTAAGTTTGGCTTTTGCAAAACCTCTATCGGACCAGAACTTAAATGGTTTTGAGTTGATCATAGAGAGGATCAGTTGTGTGACTTAAATTCCTGCAGAAAAACTATAGTCACTTGTCTGTTTGATAGGAATGGGATGGTCCTGAAAGGGTTTCTGTGTGTAACAATTTAGCAGAGGTGCCCATTCTTTAATAACAGAAAGTGAAAAGTGTCTGGTGCAGTCTTTTTTAACATTTTCATCTTGGAGGTGGAGATACTGTATATTTGATGCCATTCTCCAATATTTATGTAGTTAGATGATGGGTGTGATATTTAATTAAAATTGTCAGCAGTTTATTCAAAATACAAAAGGCTTTTAAGATCAGTTTCACGCAGTTAACTTCACACACCACTGGGTAAGCACTGAAGCTGCCTTGTCCCCTCCTAAGCAGGTAGGTATTCAGTCCTCTGCTTCACAGTTCAGTGAAGAAAGTACTGATAGCAGCACATTAAGAGTATCAATTCATGCTGCTGCTAGCCTAAATTAGCAGTAGCAGATTAATGCATGTAATATGATAAATTGCTTAGCACATAATGTATTAATTTGCATATTTTATGAAAGGATGCTTGTGCTACCAGAACACTTTTGTGAGCAAACAAGATTAATGTAATTGTCATATCAATATTTTCTGTATTTAATTTCCATCTCATTTTCCTGTCTACCATCAGTACCAACTATGTGCACTCTATACCATAGTACTGGGAATAACAAGTATTGTTGAGGTCTACCAAAGCACATGGCTATAAATCTGTCCTAATCCATCTGTGCTAATCCATCAGTCATTTCAAACATCTCAATCTACATACTATTGATGAGAATTAGAATTCCTTTTATTTGAAGATTTCTGAAAAGAGGATATAAACAAACACTGCATTCTGATTATTGACAAATATACAAATTTTACACTGCAAAAATTGGTTCAACTGTACACATTCAAATTATTTCAGCTCTATTTACACACTTGTAGTATTATACAGCATAACTTGTCACCTGTGTGCCACTAAAACAATTACTCAAAATGAGTATACAGCACAACTATAAGAATTGCCTGTATCTGTGTATAAAATAGTTTGATTTGAACTCAAAAAGCTAATTCATTTCAGTTTTTAAACCCCATAGTAGCATTTATAATAGATGAAAGGCACAGTAGTTCTGTTTGGGAAAGTATCTGAAGAAGTAAAAGTGAAATCAGATCTAATTATGCAAGTTAGAACTTCCATGACAATAGCACTGGGCATTTTCCAGTTACCATCAGGGGCTTGGAAGCCCCTTTGATTTCATGCAGAATTAAAATGTGCTGAATTTCATAGCTTTCAATGGAGATTCAAAGTACTTTAAATTCACTGGAGCATATCCCACATTCTTGCTGATTTTCCTTTAGGTTTCAATAGTTGCATTCAGACTCTACATAAATGACAGAGCTCCTTGTGTTAACAATAGGAAACACAATCCAAGCAGAGATTTCCTGAAGTGGGGGCAGGATCATAATTTTTCTCACCCCTTTCAGCCTCCAGCACACCTGCTGGGCTATTCCCAAGAGTCACTCAGTGATCAGGAGCAGAAACGAAAGAAAATAGCTTCCTCAAGAAGGATCAAAACTGCAGCATATAAAGGGGCCAAAACACTACGGACTTTTTTCTGCATTACACAACAGTTTTACATAACGTATTGTTGTGAGTTCTGAACACTACAAATTTTAAGATGTTCTACAGTTAAAACAAGACATACGTTCAATACTGGACTCTAAGCTAGCATCTTATACTACAGATGACTTCTGGGGAAAGAATCAAGATTTGATTTGCCATATACATTTTTAAAAAATAAGTGCTAAAACATCTTTGTGCTATGAACGTAAATATATTCAGACAAGGAATTGGTCCAAAAAGATTAAGAAAAGAGCAAATAAAGCAAGCCTGGGAGGATTTGCAGCCCACTAAATACTGTTGGGAGTGCTGATGGAAACTTCCACTCATCTCTCAAACATTAGCAATGCTGGCTGGAAGTTATAGTAACTACATATCCACAACATCTGGAGGGTTACACATTCCTGTAAGGGGTTCAGTTTTGGCACTGTAAAAAAGCCTCCTTAAGCTACTCTTGCAAATTCATTTGAAGTATACATACTCATTAAAATGAAAAATCACACTTTTTTGTTAATGATTCTTTAAATGCTGTAGCCATGTAGACAAACCACAGGCTTCCAATGTTCAAATCTCCAATGAAGTCATGCAATTGTGCCATTATACAACCTCTAAAACTACAGTTAAGAACAGCCTTCAAAAATTGTTACTCATGCTTGATATACTTGTAATTAATGGTAATATTCAAAGAGCTGATAACTCAGTTTGTGACTGATGTTTTTAAGACTTAAATGCAGTGGGACTTCAACAGGTTTAGAAGAAAAAAGCTTCCCAAGATGCTTTCCTTCAGCTCTAAGGTCCATAACCCAGAGGGAGGTTTTGGGGCACAGATAAATTATTATTATTCAATTACCCAATTTTGGTCTAAAGTCAGTGTTAGGAAATATACATGTATAAAAATCTGACTGTTTAAAACAGACCAGACAATTGCAACCTTTCCATTTTTGATTGTCCACAATTCTTACAAGTATTTTATTGGTTTACCAAAAAATTGAATGTTGACACTTATTAGTCAATGCAGTTAAAATGATAACAATGTACCTAACAAATATGTTATCTGCTATCCAGGAAAGTAAGCAGAAGTTCTGGAAGGTGCTACAGGCTTAGATGGTATTTGTGATTTTTTCAGCGTAGTTGACTTTACATGCCCTGCTAACAATAGGAAAGAGAAGTTCTTAATTAACATCTTCAGATATTTTTAAACATTAACATTATTATAGTTCTCTTAAATATGCATGTTTACCTGTGTTATGAGATGTGTTCTGGCTGAGTCCTCGTAAAGGAATGCTGTCTTCCCTTTTCTTCAGATACTTTGCTTCCAATCCCAAGTTTTCACTACTGATCAAGAGAAGAAGTTGCACTAAGAAGCAATTATTAACACCTCAATCTGGTCTATTTTCAAGACCCATAGTGCAAGTTTCAGACCACAACTTATTCATTCCTCATCTACTAAAATTCTGTCTTTCTATAATAAGCTGTGTGTGAGGGGCATTCTCTTACTCCTCAGGCCCCATCCCATTTATTCTATAACCAGATAAATTATGTAAAGAACCAAAGGATTCTAGTAATTAATTCCACAGTCCCAAACATTCAACATATTTTGAGGGTAAAAGCACACTGCACCATAAGATAAGCCAATTCTGAATGGGAAGAATTTGTCAAAAACATTTTAGGGTATCCAAGGTGGGTCATCCTGTTTAGCTTAAAATCCCACTTGTCACATTGCACACACCTGCAATTTATCTACTGAAATTGCCAGCATGTTCATATATCTATATTTAGAGCTTCATTGGGTTCTCATTTCATTGGGTTCTCATGCGCTTCGTTTAGACAACGCAAAGTGTGTAAATGATCTGAGAACTGGCCATGTGAAAGCTGCTACTGTATGAGTATGCCTGGTAGGCTAATACCATCAGCACAAGACTTCTCCAGATGTTCTCCTTCAGAAACCAATCAGAAACTGATGCTTTTTCATGGAACACACGAAGACTGATCTTCCCAGTGTCTTTTAGCTGGCAGGCAAGTCTACCCTGTTCACTAGAACTTTTAATGCCTCTAATAATGTTTTTTTCCAACTGCCACAATGGTGAGTAGCCCTTTATAGTTGAGTAGTTGTATACAATGATAGTTCTGAATTGAATTTTAATGTTTGTATTTATTTTTGCTGATAAGGCAATAAATGCCATCTTTCCTATTTATGGGATAAGGACAGGACTGTGAACACATCTGGGCAACTGTGAACATATCTGGGCATCACCTGGGCAACAACTGTGTCCTGCTGGGTTGAGCCTTCCACTCTAAATGCACCATTAGTTGCTTTTAATTGATACATTTTTTATGGTGGTGGGTTTTTTCTCTTATATCAACATACTTTGCTTGCATATTATGATTATATCTTTGAAACATTTCCATTTCTTTCCTTTTTCAAAGTTAATCTTGTTATTAACCACCTTGAGCCTCAGTCTTGGCAACAAGGCTGCATCAAGCCAGTCAACATTAAACCTTGGAGGCAAGTTTCCTTTGATGCTGCTTCTAGAGTTTATAACAATGGAGGGTAGTTTGGCATTCAAGAAATACCTTTCAAAGGGATTTGTCATACCCAGAATGGCTAGGGAAAACAGACAACATCAGGATGGATTAGTATGTGGTTTCCTGCCATACAGTTAGTTTGCCATGGGCTTGGTAGTGATGAATTGCTCCCGCACATAAAAAGGAATTGGGCACAGCCATGTGCAGGATTCCAAGAGATCAATCTTGGGTCTCTTTTGCAGAATGAAAAAAAAATCTTGATAAAACCTAAAATCCTACTGGTGTTCACATAAAGGTTGCATAAACTATCCAGTTAATTGACAAGGTGCCAAGCCATGTCCTAATAACACATATGGTCACACAGCCAACTGCAGGACAGACACGTGCCCTAGCATCCTGTCAATTAGATGCAGCGAGATATGCAAAACATAAGTGAACACCAATAGGATTCCAGCCAATGCTACTAGATCTATTTTATATTTTTATATTAATATCAAAATACATTATTTGTTGTAACAGACATTAAAAAGTCCAACAAAAGTGCTCACTTTTCTTGATTCGTCAAATGACACATCAATGAAGGAATTGCTGGCTGTGTTTCTGCACATCTGTTAGTCTCTGGAAGCTGCATATTGAACTGAACCTGCTGAGATAGTTAAAATGTTTCATATACTTAATAATTCCATATCCAAGATGCCTTGTATCTTAAATAAGCCTAAGAAGACCCATCCTAAATATACTGCCAAATAAATATACTTTGATGATGGAAGCACCCAATTTCAGTAGTCAACACCAGAGACTTATTTAAAATTATATTTAAGTGAACTTTCCCACTTGTCTTTCCTAAACTGAGTTGTACATTAACTGGCTATCACAAAAACAATTCGATTGACAACAAAACTGAACTCTGATATTCCTACAGTGGATAATCCAAAACTTTTCTCATGGAACCTGCATGGCTTTTGTAAGTCACCTTCCTGTTTAAACAAAGGAAGAGAGCATTTACAAAAATGAATGGACTTTTCTCAGCTCCTCTCTGTATACCTTTAAGGACAATAAACAAAATTAACTTTCCCCTCCAAAGTGAGGAGAGAGGCATAGTTCACACAGGCTTCTCACTTCTATTTAAGATAGACAAAGTTATATAATAATCCCTCATTAGGAAATCGATTTCCCTGTTTGCAGGGGCTGATTTGGGAGGAACATAAAATTATTCAAAGGATCTCGAGGATTTCGGCTTACCACGGCAACAGTGGAATTTTGTTGGGTTCTTTTGGTTTTTTAAAGCTTTGCTAATAATGCAAGCAAAGGCTACAAGTGAAAAAGTTTGACTCATTCACGTGTCAAAACACTTTGTTCCTGCTACAATTATGTTTGCTAAAGCATAACGTTTGAACATGCTTTACATAATATATCTTGCATGTGCAGCAACCATAACTAACTTGAAAAGATGTAAGAGGATGTAAAAGATATTGTAAAAGATATATAAGATGCCTGCCTTTGCTCCTGAAGCCTGCTGGTTAGTGCTTTTAGCACCTGTTGCATCTGGAAAACCTTGAAAAGCTAGCAAGGGGGAGATAGGATAGTTCAATCCTGAGCTCAAAAACGGGAATCTGCTATCAACCTGTCAAACAGAATTAAGATGTATGAAGCCAAAACAGTAGCAGCACAAACACAATTCATTTCTTTTTTAATCTTTAAAACAGGCACACCCCAAATTCAGCAAATATACTATTATCCATTTACATGGGACTTGAAATCAATTACTCCCCCACCCCGATACTTAGAAAATCAAATCAGAGTATGGCAAGGGAGTGAGAAAAGAGCCAGAATAAAGCATGTGAGCACAAATGCTGTTCCTGAACTCATGGAATTAGTATCATGTACCGATCAGAACAAGTTAGTATCACAGACACACAAATATTCATAACAACTGTAGTACTATTACCATACTGTGAGGTGAGCTGCCAGTTCTTGAAATGACATTGCTAGGAGAAGTAGACATTCCTAATGCTTCCTGCTTCTTTGTCATCTGAATTTCATTCAGTTGCTTGTTCAGCCATGTGATGACTACAGAACAAAAACCAAAACAAGCATTTAAGTTCCTTTAATTGCTTTTCAGTTCCTTTAATTACTATTTTTAATCTGCCACTGTTAATACACAAACACTATTACAGTGGTGCCTTGCTTAAAGGGCACTCCGTTTAGCGACGAAATAGCTTAGCAACGACTTTTTCGGAGCGTTTTTGCGCTTCGTTTAGCAATGGTCCCTATGGGCAATTTTTGCTTAGCGATGGTTGGGACCATGCTTCGCATAGCGATTAAATTTTGGGTCCCCTGTTTCACTTAACAATGGTTTAAACAGCCTCATGTTTGCTGTTTTTAAAATGTTTTTCTGTTATTTATAAAGTTAAAGTTTACTGTTTAAAATGTTTGAAATCATAAAGTGCACTTAATAAACCCTTTGTTAACCAAATTTGACTTTGTTCTGACTCTTTTTTAATTTGTTGTTGTATTTTTCCCCCATGAGATGCATTGAATAGGTTTCAATGCATTTCAATTGGGGAACCGCGTTTCGCTTAGCGATGTTTCCTATGGCGATTTTTGCTTAAGGACGGCAATTCATTCCTATTGGACCAGATTACCCGGTTTTCAATGCATTTCAATGGGAAACCGCGTTTCGCTTAGCGATGAAATCGCTTAGCAGCGATTTTTCGGAACAAATTAACATCACTAAGCGAGGCACCACTGTACATTATTAGGTAAATCAAGTTAGAAGCGTAATCCTATGTTTTGTATATGTGTGCAAAATAAATCCCACTGGGTTCAATATAGGTTCTAGGTGAGAAGGACTGCAGCCCGAGTTTTGTATTAAATCAGGAACTGACAAACACAGAACTCTAGAACGTGGATAGACAACTTGATGTATGCTCAAGGCATTTGCAATTACAACTGTATAAGTTCCAACTAGCATAACCAATTGTCAAAAATTACGGGAACGTAGTAACCGAGGAGGCATTAAATAACATTGCGTGCCTGCCTGTCTTGGAAGAGTTGGATCGCGAACCAACTTAGAAATAAAAGCAGCCTTGGATCCCCTTGCCTCCGGCAAGGCACCTAGGAAGGATAACATCACTGTTGAAATGCTGAAGTGTTGTAAAGAGATTATCACCACTGAGCTGTATGAAATCTTTTGTCTTTGCTGGAGGGAAGGTGGAGTACCACAGGACATGAAGGATG